TTTTTTTTGTAAGCAAATAGGACCATTTTTATTTTTATTTTTTTTTTTAATAGCGGGCCCAGTGCCCAAGGCTGATATTATGAATAATGCCGGGAAGCGGGCCCGGCGTCCCTCACAAAAGTTGAACAGCCCGAGGCTTGCCCCCTGCAACTCCGGCCGGGTGCAAGTCCAGGCTGCCGAAATCACAACAGTTCTAACATCACGAAGATTTACACCATAATCCTAATGTATTGTAACCTTGGCAGGGGCACCAGCAAGTCTACCCTACTGTACTAGGGCCTGAATTTGTGAACCACCACCAGAATCCTCAACCACGAAAGATAAACTGCAATCCTATTCTTGGCCGTAAACAAATCGTCATTTCCCAACGAATGTGCAAAATTTCAGAGGACAACCAACCTAAAAGCCCCGCGTTCAGCAACAGTTAGTAAAAAACAGAATCCCTATTGTACTCTAGGTATACGAACGGTTTTCAACAAAGCTATTGGCAAGCACCTCTACCACAAGAATCTCACGAATCTTTCGGTCTGGCACAGTCGCAAGAAACCCTAATTAAACAACAATCAATTAACAACTCACTCCCACGCAAAACAAAACAGAGATTGCCGACGAAGAAAACAAAACGAGACTATGACTAACACGTTCACTATCTATTCTCGACCAACATAGCAAGAAACCCTAATTAAACAACAATCAATTAACAACGCACTACCACGCAAAACAAAACAGAGATTGCCAACAAAGAAAACAAAACAAAACTATGACTAACACGTTCACTGTCTATTCACAACCAACATAGTACTCGCGCGGGCCGCCCTTGATTGCTCGCAGGCGGGATGTTCCCACAACAGCTCCATATCAAGACCGAAGGCCACAGCCCTCAATCAGTTGCAGAAGGTATGTGAATCATTAGAACCAGCTGAAACTCTGGTATAATCGCGATACTCGGATCCCGCCCGTCGAGCGTCCTCACATCAGCCACAGCCGCCGTCCTTCCGCGCCCGATCAGGATTACCGACCCAGTCAGCCCGGATTAGCCCATGGCAAGGGCTTTTCAAACCCTCTCGCAGTGTGTCCCACAGTGCCCTCGCACTCTATCCCCCACGCTCCAGCCACCCCAGCAACAAGCTTTGGCTAGGCACCACCATCTTTTCGGTAGCACCTGTGCGATCCCCCATTGCCCAAGCACCGCCCCCGACGACGCTAACACCGAAGTGGTGGAGCGGCATCTTCAAAAATTTCAAGACGGGCTTCGAGCGCTAACGCAACGCAACGCAACGCAGCGTAGCGCGCGGCCCAGCGTTTAACGCAATCCTTGAAAGCGCAGGGGCCATACTACCGGAGCGTGGTCCCATTAGCAAAGAGGATTGGATTAAGCTCCTGAATCTGGACGTGTTTTAAGCAGAGATGCAGAAAAGCTGTTCAATCCCGAATTTCTGCACTTTTCCAGGAACACGTCTAGATTCAGGCGTTGGATCCAATCCATGTTGCTAGTGGGACCTCGCCCCCTATAATCTTCTCTGTATCGTTCCAATTTTAACGGATGTCCCTAAGGACTATTTTTGTTTGTTTGTTTGTTTGTTTGTTTGTTTTTTTTTTTTTTTCAAACAGGTCTGTATTTATTATTATATGTCTTGAACCAGAGGCCGGGGACCTCACAATTCTACCCGGGTTGCTGGAAAACAGGTCCAGCGTCCTATTCGGGTAACCGATCTGGAAAACAGGTCCGAATCCTCAGGAAGGAAAAAAGCAGACTACCAGCTGGAAACGAGGTCCAGCGTCCTTTCCTAGGGTCCAGTTCTATAGTCTAAGTCTTTTTTTTTTTACACATGTCGTGAGTGGTGCGGCGACTACCACCAGTGTCCTTCAGATCATGCCGCAAAGCCCCACGCGTATCGCTTGCGCCGTCGTCGTGCTTTGCTTCGTCTGATCGATCGACGCAGCAGCGGGTTCATTGCCACCCTATCTGGGAGCTAAACATCAGCATGCATCCCTACCACCAATACCCCTCAAGTGCCTTCGCCATATCTGGCGGCCAAAAAAGCATGCATCCCCAGCACCGTATCTACAAGGTACCCCTCGCTCCCTTCCGTCACGTCTGATTCCTGCCGCTTATGATTTTTTTTTTTGTTTTTTTTTTTTAAATGACGTCAGGAAATGAAGGTGAAAGTATCGATTAAAAAAAAAAAAAAAGAAAAAAAAAAAAGAAAGAAATTCAAGAAAAAAAAAATCAATTAAAAAAGGGAAAAAAAGAACGTCGAGAATGTACAAAAGAAGGAAGACAAAAAGAAAAAAAAAACATCGATCACCCAATTAACTGATCGTCCGTTCAATTCATAATTGAGGGCATGCTCCAACTACCGTTTTTCCCCCCAACACAACGCACCCTGATGATGAATGTATACAGCTTATCCTTAAGGTCACGTATAGCCACAATGAGGGTGCGTTGTGTTCGGGGGAAGGCGGTAGGACTTCTGCGATTCAGCTCAGCACGCGATTCCTAATTAAATTAACTCATCGTCCGTTCATTTCATAATTGAGGACATGCTCCAAATAGGACTTCTGCGATTCACCTCGGCACGCAAGTGCGGCCAAATCCATCAGGTACGGGCGCATTAGCGATCACGTACAGGTATGAAATTGGTAGTGCGGGTGTGCTCAGAGATTTTAGGCTGCCGCGGTGTCAGTAGATGAAGCTTGGCGCCCGCCACCTAGAGATATACCGTTGGTCCTCCCGAGTGGCATTGAGCAGAGACTGCTGATGTTCATAGGGGGAGGGGACCACCACCTGAGGGGAGGCACAGTGACTGGCCCATCGAAGAAGCTACTGTAGGTCCAGATGCTACAGGCTGACCCCTGGCCGGTATCGCCCACCTGCTGTAGCAGGTATCGCACCTGCTGGTGGGTGCAGCTCCCGCATGTTCCCTCGTTGGAGGCTTGAGCACGGATGTGGCTGCTACGGGGTTCCCCGTAATAAAAAATGATGACAATAAAAAAAGGCCTGAAAGGCTGTCCTGTCCAGATTCAATAGGTAATTGAATTGGTTGGGCTAAAAAAAAATTAAAAAAAAAGAGAAAGCCCACGTGCCAGAGCAGCACGTGTCAGCGTAGTACAGTTGCCACCATGAACCCGGCGCCTACGTGCCAGAGCAGCACGTGTCAGCGTAGTACAGTTGCCACCATGAACCCGGCGCCTATTGTGGTAGCCGTTCTCGCGCGAGACGCTGGGTTGCACTGGGCCTCGCTGCACTACTCTCCAAATGTGCAAAATGAGTCTGAATCGACCGCTAGAACATGGAAATATACATTGCCATCAATCATTTTCGTCTTCTGCGCAACTGGTCAACTACCATCTTCCCCCGAACATAACGCACCCTGAAAATGAAAGTATACAAGCTATATTTTCCGTTTGGTACAGCCAAAATGAGTGCAGCACCGCCCACTGAAAATGGAACAGGCGTTGTGTTTGGGCCTCGCTCCACTACTGTCGACATGCACAACCGACAAAAATCATGGCTATGTATCTTTCCATATTCCACAGGAATATTCGCTCTCGTTTTGCACATTTCGAGAGTAGTGCAGCAAGGCCCTTTCCTTTGGCGCTCAAGGCTTTCGCTCGCCATATTGGGACTCGCTGCACTACTCTCGAAATGTGTAATGTAAAACGAGAGTGAATCTTCCGCTAGAACACGGGAAGATACACCGCCAATATTTTTGTCTTTTTGCATGTCGAGAGTAGTGCAGCGAGGCCCATTCCGTCTCCAACAAGCGACGGACTGTAACACGACCCATAACTGTTTTCCTTCGAGATGCCTCGCGACCGTCCCTTGCCCAGTGCTATAAATTCCTTCCCGACGGTGCCGCTCATTGCCTTAAACTAATGAGTAAGGAAAATAACGTGGCGGCGCGAGACCCGCCACACGCCGTAGTGCGTATCAATTTTTGCCGGGGCACAGGCTAGTCGGGAGTTGACACTGCCTACTTTGCAGGACTCTCCCGTGCAGGCCTCCCGACAAGGGTGACCTTCACCCACACAAATAACGCAAGAAGGAATGTTAGAGAACCCTCACAGTAGGACGACGGTGGTGACCTTCACCCACGAAAATACCGCAAGAAGGAATGTTAGAGAACACTCACAGTAGGACGACGGTGGCCTTTACCCACAATAACATTTCAAGCACCCTCACACTAGGACAAGGGTGGCCTTCACCAACACTTCGAGCACCCTCACACTAGGCCAAGGGCGGCTTTCACCCACAATAACACTTCACCCTCACACTCGGTTGGGCCTCTAGGCCTATTTGCGGGCAGGTACCTGCGGTTTTTATCCGTAGTTCTGGTCAGACTATAGGAATCTGTCCGCTGGTGGAATGATAGGATGGAATGTAAACCCTAAAGCATAGAACTTGCGTGTTTGTCTGGTCGGGTTGCTTTCGTTTTGATAGGGTGGGCATGACGACCGGGAGGAAGACAGGGCGGAAAAGATCATGGGAGGTAATTGCAATCCGGTCGGAAAAGATCATGGGAGGTAATTGCAATCCAGTCGGAAAAGATCATGGGAGGTAATTGCAAACCGGTCAGAAAAGATAATGGGAGGTAATTGCCATCCTCCCTCTCTCTCTCTCTCTCTCTCTCTCTCTCTCTCTCTCTCTCTCTCTCTCTCTCTCTCTCTCTCTCTCCCCCCTCCTCCTCCTCGTCCACCTCTTCCTCCTCTTCTTCCTCCTCTTCTTCCTCCTCTTCTTCCTCCTCCTCCTCTACAGTTTAGTGTCAAGAGAATGCATTGTTAGACACCCACCTGCCTTAGTTGGTTGATGTGCGGGTGGTGTTCAGATTGACAAGTGATTATGGCGCCACGGTTACAGTGTGGTGGAGGAAGAGAACTTAGAGGATGGAGAAGAAGGTGGAGGAGGAGGAAGCAGAGGACGAGGAGGAAGAGGAGGAGGAGGAGGAGGAGGAGGAAGAGGAGGAAGAAGAGGAGGAAGAAGAGGAAGAAGAGGAGGAAGAAGAGGAGGAAGAAGGGGAGGAGGAGG